GTGTATATATACCTAGTAACTATTTTACCATTTCAAATATCACATTATTTTATGCTCACTCTGTCATCCTCCGTAACTATATATATTCTTTACTTAATTATTAATTTGCCCCTGTGGCACAGCGGTATGTCTGCAGACTTACAACGCTAGAATCCGGGTTTCGATACCCGTTGTGGGCAGAGTACAGATAGCCCATTGTGTAGCTTTGTGCTTAATTACAAAAAAAACAACAACAACAAAAAATTGCCCTCAATGACACAGCGGTATGTCTGCGGACTTACAACGTGGTTAGCAGAGCACAGATAGCCCATTGTGTAGCTTTGTGCTTAATTACAAATAAACAAATTAATAATTTCTCTTTTTATTTATGTTCTATTATGGTGAGCTGAGAATCTTCACACTAAAATATTTTAATCTTTTGTAAAAAAATCAATCGTAAACTCGACGAATTCATAAAAAAATTATATATTTGTCCTGTACATTATTTTTAGAGTCTTCGTCCACTTAATGTAGAATAAAATATTATACTTCGACAGTAGTTTATGTTAGAAAACCGGTAAATTTATGCGTAATTATGTTGTAAATTGCGTCTTTTTATATTTTCATAAATATACGTCTCAATGATAAATTGATACAGTCATTGAAGTAAAATATATATTTGTAGATGATGCATTATAACGCGTGACTCCTGGTGGATCAGCGATAAGTTTATGAACTTACAAGGCTTAAATCCTGGGTTCAATTCCCTGCAGTGGATACGACAGATAGCCCAATGCGGTTTTCTCTCAAACTACACCTCTTAATTTTAAACTTCTTTTTAAATATTTATATAATCGATATTGGAACGAAGTAGATCAATAAAAATAGTTTCATCCCTTAGAATTATTAATGTTTGGATACCATGATTCCCTTACAAAACACAGCCACATTTCAAGACACAATGATTCATACACACCACACATCCATGGATGAAGTGTGGTATTCTCATCATCTTCAGAAAACGTTGGTGAACAAGAAGTATGTACGTTTCAAAACTAAAAGTAAAATAAACACCAAGCATGTTTCGCATGATGCCATAATTTACTTACACTACTCTCACGGTTAATAATGCCACATTTTATTAATGATTAGCACTATGGTTAATGGTCACGTGCATTTCTTTGCCTTACATGGTTACTGATACCAGGTGTCACTCACATCACTCAACTTTGGAAAACAAAATTTTATTTTATTTCTCATTTCTTTACAAGAATTGGAGAAAATATAAAGAAGTATTAGGAGCTTGATGATTTCTTTTGTTTTTCTTTCAAAAAAACTTCTCATTAGTAAATAATTCATACAGGGTTTTAATTTTTACAGGGATAATCTATATTTTTGCACGTGTTTTCTGAATATTGAATTTCATTATAAATGCGCTGATGCACTTCAATATTTCTTGTGATGAAAGCTAACGTCATAACAGTCATGTACACGTGCTACGTCTAATATCAAGTCCAGTACTGGCAAATACAAAAATTAACGGCCCGGCATGGCCAGGTGGATAAG